AAGTAAAATGGTTTTGTGTTGTTTGTGATTTATTTGTATTTTTGTCTGTTCATGTTTATTTCTACTTTAATTAAGAAAAATACAAAAATATGTATTGCATGCGCATTTAGGATTCAATTTTGCAATTTAGGAATTAATTAAACAATCAAGTTTGTTTTACAAAATGGAAAGATCACAAAAAATATGTACTTTGCATTTTTTGGCGTTTAATGTCCGAATTGTGTGATTTTATCTTTATTTGGTGTTTAATTGCATGTGATAGCTATTATTAAGAGTTAATATTTTAAGTTAATTGTCAATGTTATAATTCAATTAGGATTTTAGTTGAAAAGGAATTAAAAGAAAATGAAAGAAAAAGGAAGAAAAAGAGTGGAAATTGGGTCGATTTCAGTGCAAAAATAAGGCCCAAATCACCTATGAACCAGGTCTATGTTTGGCCTGGTCAGAGATGTCTTAAAACGACGTTGTTTGGCCACTCTTAATCAAAGCCGTTGATACGACTTGATCCAACGGTCACAGATCAATGCCCCTTACCCATTCCCTGGCCCGACCCACTTGCCCCCGGATCGACCCCGCCCAGTACTACTACAAAACGACGTCGTGTCTGTTAAATGAATTGATCCAGGCCGTTGGTCGGGCTTGATCCAACGACTAGGATTAAAACACCCCTCCCCCCCGTATATAACCTTGATTCCTTACCCCCACGCCCCCTAAACCAAACCCCCCTTCACCTTTGTCTCTGAGCTTCAGAGACCAAACAGATCCCCCGCCTTCAACCACCATCCTCCGCCTACCGAAAATCGCCTCACGGCGGTTCCGGTGGTCCAAATGACCCCATCTTTTCACCACGGAATCACCTCGACCTCCCCATTCCGAACCCCTAACCCTTATCCTTCGAATCACCCCCGAGCTCCTCGAATCTTAGGTCAAAGGAATCGACCCAAACCCTAATCCGTTCATATGCCACCAAACTCACACCCTGCCACCCCCTGACCTCCCTCGTTCCAGTCCCACGCTCAGTTTCCTGCGAATCACCCCGGAAAGTCTTGAATCAAGGGTTTTAGAATGGCGATTTGAATCTAGTTCAGAGACTGAGGTCAAAACGGACTTTAGTCGAATGTGTTCTCGTTTAGGAACACTCTACTAGGGTCCATCTTGGCCCCAAGTCCAAAAGGCATCGGAGGTTCCAACCCAGGCCTCGTTTAATTGGTAGGTTTTCATTTTACCTTCTTTTTCTATTAGTTTTGGTTCAGTAAATTCATCCTCTACTCCTTTCTTATTTTTGTTTAAATTCGAATGTTCTGTGCTTACTCTGTATTTTGTTTCTTCTTTGTTTTCCTGAATGAGTCGAATCAGTCAGTGCTAGTAAGTTTTGTATAAACTGTAGCTATTCCTATAATTTCTCGCTATTACTGTAAGTTCAAAGTATGTCATCTGTGATTGCCCATCACTTTGTATATGAATTCAGTGTTTTTATTTAATGTATTTACAGTGTTGTCCGTATTTAGGATTAACATGGAATTGTGTCTGGTTTATTCCCTGAATCACCATGTCCTTCATTTTGTTGCAATGTTGTTTTGATCTGGTTTGAATTCAATTGTTGTTTGAGTTTGCTGAATTAAATAACAATGTTTGGGGGCTGATATGAATTGAACTTGAGTTCACCTTTGAGCTTTAGTTTAATAAATTGTTAGGATTCCTAATTTAGTTGAATCGGTTATAGTTGATGGATTGGGTACAAATTGAAAGGGGCTGAGGTATGATAATACACAGGGGTTAAGGGGGTATTTTGGGGATTGAAAATTTCAGAAATTGGCTAGTTTAAGTGGGCTGACAGTAGGGTACTAAAATACCATTAAACTAATACAATTGTTTAGTGCTAATGGGGAACAAGACATAATGGTGGGGGAAATGTTTAAAGAAAATGGATTAAGAAATAGGTGCTCATACCTATTTGAATAAAGAAAAGACAAGTGTAGTGGGGAACAAAACATATACTAGTGGAATTAAAAGGATATGATGGGCAGAATTAGTGGAAAAATTCTGCTTTTGAAAGTGCTTTTGAAAGTTGAGGGGCAGGGTCAGTGTTTGGTGATAAATAGAGTCACTTAGGACAGATTTTAAAGGAAAGAGTTTTTTACACGGGATTAATTCAAAAAAAATCTAGAGAGAGACATTGAGGGGACCTTTTTTTGGAATGGGCAGTAAGGGTTGAGGGTCAAAACAAATAGAAAAAGTTCAAAGATAGGCACACACTGCCTGACTTTGAAACAAATTGAGAAAACCTACTGTTGCATTAGTTTCCTGAAGTCAAATTAGAATTCCAGTTGATAAGTTGCATGTTTCTAGCTTGATTTCTGATTGTGAGAGTCTCAGAGGTTCCCTGGTTGGTTTTCTAGTGATTTTGGGTTTGTTCAGGCTGGTTTTGAGTCAGTTCTGGTAATTCTTGTTTGGTTTTAAACACTTCTGGATTTCTGGCTCATCACTTGGGCCTGTTCTTTGTTCTATATTACTGGGCATTGATTACTACTGTTGTTGTTGGGCTGTGCTATCTGCTGCTGCTGACCTGCCTGTTTTCTTCTTCTTCTGCTGCTGTTCTCGATTCCAGGTACACTACTTCGAATTCTTGGTGTATGCTCATTGAAGATGAAATGAAATGGCCAGAGGATTTAATGTTCAAACTATAAAATGCTTGTATTCTACTCGATATTAATTGTGTGTTTCATGTTACATGAATAATAGAAGACTGTATAATTAGGGCTATTTATAAGTTGTTTGGGCTGTTTGATTTCGGGACTGTTTGGACTTTGGAATGGACCATGTAATAGTCATATGGGTTTAGTTTTGTTTTGTAGTATAGTTTTTGAAATTGGAAGTAAGCTGCAAGCTGAAACAGTAAAGTCTTTTGGAATTCATGAGTTTCACTTGTACTCATAAAATTGAGCTGAAATCAGTAAGTATGGGTTTAAATGTGGTTATTGATTAAGAGCGCATTCGTTATTCACATCTTGTTAAGAATCAAGTTTGTATCTAAGTATTCTTATGAAATTCTCTTTTATATGTTTTATAACATGTATATCTATGTGAGTTTAGACAACGTTGGCATTAGTGAGTGTTGTAGTTTAGATAAGTAACATATTTTAGTTGTAATAATAATGTTATGGTACATGTTTGCAACATTATAATAATAGACCATCGTTAATAGTTAAAACGAGATTGGAAATGAATGGTAATGTGCTATTAAGCTAATAATTGTAATCATTGCTAATTAGTTAACTGACCGGGAAAGCCGGCTGTCCCACGGGTAGGCCTTGGAGGCCCGATGCGGATTAATCATAAGTTTCTTTCTTAAATGGGGAAGTAGCTCTTAAAATTAACCAATTAGGACCTTTTCTTTCTCTTTAGAGAAAAAATATAAGAAAATCTTAGTTCACTTTAGGAGGGATATACAAATGAAATGAGACGAGCCTCGCTAAATAGAACACATAAGTCGCGGGGCCCTCATCCAATGTATATTTGAAATACTTAGATTCCGAGGCGAGCCGTTTAACGAATTTCACGGTCTTTCCAAAAATAACAACGCGTTAGTCCCTTTAGGTGCGTACTTTAAATAATATTACCTCCTTAAACCCGGGTGCACATTTATGTGACCCAAGTCCAAATCCCAACGAACTCGAAATATGTCGATAATCACGGGTACATTGATTGTGATGTGGTTCGAGATGCATTTCCAGGACGTTGCAATTCTTTTTTAATAATGAGCGAGACGAGCCTCGACAAACAAATACATAAGTCGCGGGGCCCTCTATAAGAGTTTGTAAAATTCCTTAGACATTCGGGATGGGCCGTTTAGCAAAGGTTCACGACCTTCCCTAAAATGATGATACGCTAGTCGCTTTAGGTGCGCCTTTAATAATTTACTTTCTTAAACTCGGGTACACATTTATGTGACCCAAATCCAAATCTCAACGGAGTCGAAATGTGTCGATAACCACGGATACATTGATGTGACGGGGTTCGAGATACGTTTTCACAACGTTGCAATTCTCTGTTAAAATAATAATAATAATAATAATAAAAGTGGTTAAAAGTTAAAATTTGCACATAGGATTCAACATGTATTAAAATCAGATAAATTAGCCGAATATGACAGTTGAGCGATCGTGCTAGAACCACGGAACTCGGGAATGCCTAACACCTTCTCCCGGGTTAACAAAATTCCTTACTTAGATTTCTAGTTCGCGGACTGTAATACAGAGTAAATCCTTTCCTCGATTCGGGATTCAACCGGTGACTTGGGACACCANGACACGCATAATAATTAAGGATAACTTGGTGCTACCGGACCTCAGATATCGAGCCTGGAACCCATACATAATTACTCAGTCCAATTTTAAAAATAATTATTTAATTCCTTAAACTAACAAAATTCTAAAAATGTTGAAATTGACACGCATAATAATTAAGGATAACTTGGTGCTACCGGGCCTCAAATATCGAGCCTGGAACCCATACATAATTACTCAGTCCAATTTTAAAAATAATTATTTTAATTTATTAAACTAACACATACAATTAATTTTCTTTAAATTATAGTAGACGACATGGACTTTTCACCTGTGCATCCTGGACCAGCCGAGGATCAACTATTAGTGTTGCCGGGTGACCATAGGTCCTCCTTCGTATGGGAGGGACATCTATCAGATCAACCTCTCTGTGCTAGGAGACCTGGCGATTTGTGGGACTTCATGGCGCAACATCATTTCCATGCCCGTGTAGTCGCACGCCTACAGGCTACGGGCTTCTATATGATTTTTTGGATTGGGAGAATGCAGCTTGATTCGTCTCTCATCACGGCCTTGGTAGAGCGGTGGCGACCGGAGACGCACACTTTTCACTTGCCCACTAGAGAGGCCACCATCACGCTGGAAGATGTTCAGGTTTTGTACGGGCTGCGCGTAGATGGACGGGCCGTTGCACTGCCCCAGTACATTAGATCCATGACGCGTGGACGGTATTTGGATATGATGGGGCAGTATACTGGTTACAGACCTCAGGGTGATGCTGTACAGAGAGGGGGCAGTCGCGTTGCTTTGTCAGCCATCAGAGATCATATGGCGATTTTGCACCCAGACATTACCGGCAAGACGGAGGATCTCCATATTGAGCGGTACACGAGGTTGGCGTTGCTCCTGCTTTTCGGGGGTGTCTTGTTCCCGAACACTTCGAGAAGTCTAGTGAGTATACACTTTCTCCATCATCTGCAGCAGCTAGATGATTTACCCCTGTACAGCTGGGGTGCTGTTGTTCTCGTATACCTGTATATGAGCATGTTCTGGGCGAGCATGCTTTGCTAGGTGGACATATGTGTTTTTTTGCCCCTTCTACAGGTGACAACATTTTCGAATACTCTGTTCATTACTCCGAATTCTATATGGTCGAAATGTCTCATAAATTTTATGTCAACCTTTTATCTTAGGTTTGGGCCTGGCAGCGGATCATGCCATTGCAGCCACCTCTACTACCACTTGTGCCCGGTGAGGCTTATCCATTTCTTCCTCTAGTTTCTAGGTGGGTTCTCCGGCCTGGGAACTACTGAGGACCGATGCTCATCATAATCTCCCCCTTATCAGGGATGTGTTAGATATGTTGGTGGCCGAACAGGTAAATATGTACCTACACTTACTTGTTATAAATTGAGTTGTGTTGCGCATACTCACTTTTATGTTACTATTTGGTAGTTCATCTGGACGCCATACATCGACGAGTTACTAGCTCAGCTGGCCGATTATTGCTCAGTCGACCGACTGCTTTGGAGCACCTCCGTCCCGATGATCTTCTTCGATATGTTTGAGTATCATGCCACAAAACATGTACGTCACTAGTCTCACCATCCCCAGCCTATACCGGGGGAGCCTGTATGGGTCCCTACACACTATCAGTGAGATGACTGTGTCAGGGTGGACGATATATTTATGGGATGGCTAGAGCAGCAGGTCCATATTTGGGAGCAGCGAGGTAACCGTATTCCGACACCACCTTCATTTACCCAGGAGGCCATTATTCATCTGTTTACATCATGGTACCGTCGTCATACCCGACTGATGATCGGGAACCCCATTCATGTACTTGGCGAGCGCTACAGACCATACGCCGGGAGGCACGAGTCACTGGTATGTTTTTGTGGCTTATTAATATCTTATATTTGTGATATAGCTTTATTTTTTTAATATCTTAAGTGTTTCATAGGCTATTGGGCATCACCTGGTCTACCAGTTAGGATAGGAGATGCAGCAGCATGCCGACAGTGCTGCACTCGTTGAGTATGGCTGGTGGGTGGCAGATTTGGCTCGTCGGACCCTGTTTCAAGCGAGATATGGTGCGAGGTTGTATCACGAGGCTCAGTATACGGCGCCAGAGGACTACCATCGGGGTAGGGCTGTCCCACGAGGTATGGGTAGGGCACGAGGGAGGGGNTGCCACCTTGAGTTTCGCCTTCAACTCTGCAATTTTTTTCTTGGATTGGTGCTCTCTGTCCCACTGCCCCGTACACACATCATGAAGATGATACAACTTGTCTTTGTAATATTCCTGCTCACATGGTTCATCAATTCATACCTTAAAATTGCATAGGTACTCCGGATTGCCTATAAAACATGTTCATACACGCCCAGTAGCGACGTCCAGCTTCTTCCCAACAATCATACATCATGCTTTTGATTCTACAATTGCACTTTGGGCAATAAAGGGGTTGTCGAGACATTTCTTAAAGAGAAACTTTGATTTTATGGAAATATTTGCTATAGGTTGTTGTTAAGCGCAGAAAATAACTAGAATGTGCTCGTTATTTATAGGTAAGATTTCACATATAACGTAGTATTATACCACGCTTTACATACACGTAAAACGTAGTATTATACCACGCTTTGCATATTAAATTTCTCTGAAACGACATTGTTTTATCACATGATTTTTAGCTTTTTCAGAACGACATGACAACTCAACAAAGCGTAGTGTTATACTGCGCTTTACATATTACATTTTTTTGCAAGGAAACAACTTTTTCACATGCGTTTCTAGCTTTTTTCGAATGACAAGACAACTCCATAAAACGTAGTACTATACCACGCTTTAAGTATTAAATTTTTCTGCAAGAAAACAACTTTTTTCACATGGTTTTCATCTTTTTCAGAACGACAAGACAACTCCATAAAACGTAGTACTATACAAACGTAGTCTTATACCATGCTTTGCACATAATTTTTTTTTAAATTTTTAGATTGGTGTTCTTTAGTAACACGAATACGTTGAATATTTGAACAATTCTATGAAGAAAATAATACATTATGTAGATAATGGCAACAATTCTAGTTTAACGACACAGGTTATTGTGACAGAATTTGAACAGCAATTTTATTTAAACATGACAACACAAACACAAATACGGCAAATCTAACGATACACATAACAAAAACAAACAGTAGAACTAATAAAAACACTTGACAAGGGAAACATAAAGATACACTAGTACGCTTAACACGTACAAGCCACTGTCTAGTCACGACCGCGTACTACTATTTGCTCCAACCACTGGAGTTGGTCTTCCAACTTTTTTTTCTCTTCTTCTACCTCATTGAGTTTCGCTTTCAACTCATCAATTTCTTGGTTGGTTCGGCGCTCGCGTATCGCTTACCTCGTACAGGTAATATGAAGATCATAAATTCTTTCTTTGTAGTACTCATGGTTACATGGTTCATCCATCCATACCTCAAATTCACATGTAGGCTTGTCAGGTTGCTCGTCCTCCTTGTTCATACATGCCCAGTAGCGACGTCCACCATCTGGCCACCATTTGTACAAACTGCATTTTTCTCTGCAATAGCACCTTGGGACATAAACGGGTTGTTCAAATATTTCTTAAAGAGAAACTTTGGTTATTGTTAAGCGCAGAACATAAGTAGCATGCGCACGTTATTTATAGTCAATATTTCACACAAAACGTAGTATTATACTACATTTTAGTTATTGAAGTTAAACGACATGAAAACTCAACAAAACGTAGTATTATACCACGTTTTACATATTAAAGTTATTCTGCAACAAAACAGGTTTTTCACATGATTTTCAGCTTTTTCAGAACGACATGACAACTCAACAAAACGTAGTATTATACCATGCTTTACATATTAAAGTTATTCTGCAATTAAACAGCTTTTTCTTCAGTTATTCCAGCACAATACAATAGATAAAACGTATTATTGTACCATGCTTTACATATTAGATTTATTTTTTAATACGTAATTTTTTTATTCCACATTCTTGGTCTTCTTTACTAACACAAATAAGTTTAATATTTGAACAACCATATCAAAACGTCACGTTAAAAAATAAGATGTAACAAGATTGTGGAACATAATGTTATTTGATATATATTGCAACATACACAAGTATAGACACATATTAAAAAAAACAAAACCAAAACAAAAGACTAGGGGTATCCTTGATAGTTGGGTACATTCGACGAACTTGCACTAGGAGCTGGATTACCACCGCCACGCACACCGCCTGAAGGACATTTACGATGGTCGTGTCCTGGCTGCAAGCATATGCCACATTTACACGCATAAATGGTGTCACCAACATCCATTTGGTTCCGTATACGCGTTCTCTTTTTCACTTGCAGCTTGCGTAAATAGTCCTTGTTACATACCATCTTAAAAGGTTCCGGTGGCCAATAATGCTCAGCACCTAATGGCTGCAACTGCCCGCTATACGTGTCTACGTATTCAACAACACTGTATTGCCTATCAATATGGTTGGTTGCCCCATATCCAACTTGTTGAAAGCACTTCAACGCATGTGCGCACGACATGTGGTAGATGGTCCATTTCCCACACGAACAAAACCTTCTAGCTTTATTCACCATCTGTAGATTCCCACGGTGTCCACGGATAGCGGTCTTAACTTCAAAAACACCCTGGTCATCATCGTACTGTAGAAACGAATGCCACTATGCTCGCCTCCTGTACCTTTCAAATCTTCTCATGGTTATTGGCATAAATTGAACACCCCTGTCCATCAATGTCGATGCAGATCCATGCCTTTCAGCTAACCTCTCCGCATTCTGTTTGAATGTCATGCGGACCATGGCAGTGACAGGCAGTCCACGGGAAGACTTCAACAAGCCGTTGAATGACTCCGACACGTTTGTAGTGAGGGCTCCCCATCGTCTGCCGCCATCAGCATACAATGTCTACATGTGAAGCTTATGTCCCATCAACCAAGTATAGGCTCGTGGATCTATCTGCCGGATCGCTTCCATGCGCCTGGTGAATTTGCACTGCTGGTGCTCAGTTGCAGCCATCCACATTAAGTCATGCAAGGCCTTGTCAGGATATTTCTTCTGGAAATTGGCCTTCAGGTGCCTCACACAGTAACGGTGGTATCCATATGGTTCCTTCCATTTAGGCAAGTGCCGTACATAACTTAAAATACCACCATGTCGATCGGATATTAGACAAATCTTGAACGTTGTTTGACAACGTGCTGCTTCAAGTGGTTAAAAAAACGTCCACGTCGCTTCACTTTAGTTGGCACAAATGACAAAAGCTAGTGGAAATATTTGGCTGTTGCCATCAACTACAACTGCAATCAAAAGCTTAATATCATACTTTCCATGGACATGAGTACCGTCTATTGAAATTACAGGACGACAATGCACAAAACCATCAATTGCTGCTTTAAATGACCAGAACACATAGTTGAAAATATATTCGGGTCTGTCCGAACTACGCTCACGCCTCCTTTCAACAATAGTACCGGGGTTAAAGTGTTGCAGTGCGGCCATGTACCTGGGCAGATTTGAAAAAGACTTATCCCAATCGCCATAAATAAGTTCAAAGGCACGTTTGCGACCGAGATATGCCTTTCTTTTGGTTATAGTACAACCATACTCTTGGTGGACGGCTGTAATACACTCTTTAATCTCGAACCTAATGGACACTTCCAAATATGGAATCAAGACAAGAGAAATCAAGTCCACATCCATGTTGAAGTGATTCTCATTGAATGTGTCAATTTCACATCTGTGGGTGCTAATAAATTTACCCACTTTCCACAAACTTGATTTCTTCTTGCTGGCACGTAACATCCAGTGAAAACCTATAAACTCTCTACGGCATACATCCTTGTATACCTCCTTAGTTGACTCTCTTACTATCATCTCACGGCACTCTCTTATACTGTAGATTTTTACATCCCTAATTAGGCGAGCTTTGTCGGGAAAATACATGCCCTTTGTCATAACAACTGGTCTAGACTCATCCCACATCGCTGACCGAATTTCATCATCATCCCTTGTGAGGGCATCCACGTTCGGCATACTTGGCAAATTATCAAGGTAGGGAATATTACGCTCATGAAATGGCACGTGGGACTCGTACACTCTTAGTCTAGCGGGAGGTGGAGAAACATGCTCCCTCGTCAGCTCAGGTTCAACATTCACTTCCTCTCATCATCACCCTCATCATGGAAGGGTGTGTCATCTCCAAACTCATCCGCATTGTTGTTATAATCACTATCATCTTCCTGACTCTGCAC